AGGCATGGTCATCCAATGTTTAACTGGGGCACCTCGATCTAATTGAAAGAAGTTTAAAATATTGTAAACTATATTCCAATACTGACTTCCAAATATGTTGAGRTATTCTGTCTTGTATGCATCTAAAACGAAAGAACTATGTCTCGCTGGTTCCTGGTAGCTTATTTCATTCAAGTAATTTGTAAATAATATATAATAAATTAATATAATAAAATCTATATAAATAAATAAATATAATAAAATAAATATAAAAATCTAATTATATATATATATAATATAAGAATCTATATATATATATATATATATAGTAATTTGTAAATAATATAAAAATAATAAAATAATATATATATTTTAAAATGTAAATATATAAAATAAAATAAAATTAATAAAATAATTATTAAAGTGATGTTTATGAAAAAAGTTGAATGGTACAAATTTCAAGAAAAATCACACCCCTACTAAAGGGGTGACATTAGCACCCCCAAAATCAAACATAAACAGAATTAAATGATTTAGACGCCGCAAAGTTCAAGGTGTCAACGTCGAAGACGTGGATGCTTCAACCGCTTCCTTTAAATTTCTTTTTCAACCCAACAATTCCACATTGACCATTTGAATTTCATGAAGTTAAATCGGTAAAACGTAACTACGTTACTCTTAGTTTCCTTTTTCTTACAAAATAATCAAAGGTTTTTTAGAACTGATAAATATTTGGGAAATAAAAAAGTGATCATAATCTTTTATACAGTTAAGATCGGATTTGATTGGTCAAAAATTGCAGCTATGCGAAAAATATGGAGGATAATTTCATAACTTTTACAAATAGACGGCAAACGAGTTCATATATAAACTTATGTGATTCACATATGAGATATATGTTATATGTGAACTCATGTAATTCATATATAAAGTAATTAACTGATTCGCATTTGAACATTGTGATTCACATATGAACTAATTAATTGATTCATATATGAACATGTGAACTAATGTGGGTTCATATATGTATCAGTTAGTTCAAATGTATATCACATGATTTCACATATAAAACCGTTTACCGTCTATGTGTAAAAGTTTTGAAACTAACTCTCTATTTTTCGCATGCCCATGCAATTAATTATCTGGTATTTCACGCAAAGCTGCAAATGTTGGTCATATAAAGGGGTAGGATCACGTTTTACTTCTCAAATGAACCTCCCCCCTCATACACACACACACACACACACACACACACACACACATATATATATATATAGGAAGAAGTTCAAACTAAAACATTTCTTATTTACAAGGATAGGAAAACATTTATGGACATCAAAATTATATAATTCATAATTAAAATTAAAATAAAATAAACTAATTAATTAAGGATAATTATGTGATTTCGCATTTATCTGTAATTTTGGTGACATCTTTATCTCTAAAATTACATACACATAATATGTTAACCGATATCAAATAATTATCACAAGAAAATCACACAATGAAAAGACAGGGCGATGAATGTAGGCGTGATCGTTTTCAATTATCACAACATTATCACATCAA